CTCTATTTTTGGTTGGCTTTTTATCTGGTTTTGATATCAACATAGTACTTTGTAAGAAGAGTTTGGAAATGTTCCTTCCATTTCTGTTTTATAGAATCATTTGAGTAGTATTGATATTAGTTCTTTGAAGATTTGATATAATTCTGCACTGAATCCATCGGTGCCTGAGCTTTTTATAGTTGGGGGATTTTTTAATTTATTGCTTTTTATCACATTGGTTGTTGTAGGTCTATTTATTTACTTCATCTTGGATTAACTTTAGTAAGTCATATGCGTCTACAAATTCATCCATTTCTTTTGGATTTTCTAATTTAGTGTAATATATAATTTTAAAGTATGTCTTCATGATTCTCTAAATTTCCTCAGTGCCTGTTGTAATGGCTCCCTTTTCATTTCTAACTTTTCTAATTTGGGTCTTTTGATTAATTTGACCAAGGGTTTGTCTTATTTTGTTGATCTTTCTTAGAGAACCAACTCTTTATTTCATTGATTCATTCTTTTGATTATTGTTTTAATTTATATTTCATTAATTTCTGTCCTAATCTTTCTTATTTCTCTCTATTTACTGCTTTAGGGATTGGTTTATCCCTGTTTTTCCAGTGCCTGAAGGTTCATCATCAGTTTGCTTATTTCAGATTTTTCTGATTTTATTTTAATGTTGGCACTTAGAGCTATAAACTTTCCTTTTAAGATTTCCTTCATTGTATCCCATAGATTTGGATGTGTTGTGTTTTCATTATCTTTTAATTCTAGGAAATTTTTTATTCCTTTTTGATTTCTGTAATGACTCATTGATAATAGCAACACCTGCTTATTTCCTGGTTCTATTTGTTTGGAATACTTTTTTCTATCCTTTCACTCAAAGATTGTGTTTATCTTTGGTGATAAGATGTTTCTTGTAGGCAGCAAAAATAAGCCATTCTGTTTCCTAATCCAGTCTGCTAGTCTGCCTTTCGATGGGTGAATTGAAATCATTAATATTCAATGACAATTGAAACGTAAGTATTGCTTCCTTTCATTTTGTGGGTTATTGTATCATTGGAACTTTCTAGGTCGTCTTTTGTTTAATGAGTGCCACGATGTCACTTACTTTTTTCTCTTGTAGTCCCTTAAGTGTGTTTATCTTTCTCTTCAGACTGAAGTATTCCTTCCAGTACCACCTGTTGGGTTGGCATAGTGGTCATGGATTCCTTTAGCTTACGTTTATTGTGGTAAGTTTTCCTTTCACTCTCAATTATGACAGAGAGATTTCCTGGTGTTTTAGACTGGGTTGGCAGTTGTGGTCTTTCAGAGTTTGAAAGATATCAGTTCAACCCCTTCTTGCTTTCATGGTTTGGACTAAGAAGTCAGCAGTTATTCGAAGGAGTTGGCCTTTATATGTGACTTGGTCCTTCTCTTTTGCAGCTTTCAATATACTTTCTCTGTTCTGTACATTTAATGTTTTTACTCGCATACGATGTGGGGAGTTTCTGCTCTGGTTCTGTCTGTTTGGTGTTCTGTGTACCTTTTATCTGAATGAGCTTCTATTTCCCTGGATTTGGGAAATATTTTAGAGATATTTTCTATCCCTTTTGCATGAAATTCTCCTCCTTCCCGTATGTCTATGAAAGGTTTTGCCTTTTCATGGAGTCCCAGAGTTCTTGGCATGTTCCATTCATACATTGAAAAAAAAAACTATCATTTACCTTGACTAAATGTTCCAGTTTCTCTATTGTGTCTTCATATCCTGATATTCTGTCTTCTACATGCTCCATTCTGTTGGTGAGGCTTCCCATTGAACTGTTTATTTCCATCAGTATTTCAGTTTGAGTTTTCTTCAGTATTTCTGTCTCTTCATTAAATTCTATTTTCATACTGTGAATTGTCTTCCCTATTTCAGTTCAGCTTTCTCTATTCTCTTGGAAGATGTTGGGGTCCTCTTTGAGTTGTTTACCATATTTATAATAATTGTTTTGAATTATGCATCTGGAATTTCATCTAAGTCCTTTTGATCAGGGAGTCATTAGAATGGGGTTGGTAATTTTTGAAAGAGACAAGTTATCTTGGTATTTCATGTTACTTGTGTTTTTATACTAGGATCTGCCCACCTGTGGTTAGAGCATTGGTTAAGATTTGTTGTTTTTGTTATTTTAATTCAGGTTGCCTCTCTTCTTTCAGTGGACATATTTGCAGTGTTCAGGAAAGAATAGGTTATATATGGTTCTGATGCTTTCATCTGTTAGACTGGTGTTCCAGGTATCAGCCTCTTTCTCCAGTCTGCCCCTGTGGGTTGAGTACTGTCTACAAGACACACCATCTACTAGTTAAACTATTTCAATGATAGTGTTGCAGATGACTACAAAATATATGCTTGTTAAGTACCAATTCATTTAGGGAGTAAAGAGATCCCCATGATATTGTAAATACTAATATGTTAGTGTTTACTAATAGTATAATGTGATATGCAAAAGAAAACGTCAGTAATCACAGTGAGACTAGTGAGAAGTATTATATTGTTAGATGGGAAGTAGAGGAGAGATGTGTACATAGGAGTAGAAATAATTGAGGCAAAGGAAAAACCTGAAATAGGTAAGTGGGACTTGTGGCTAATGGTAGACTAAAAGGAGGAGGTAAAGATATATACCCAGATATCATAAACCAGGTCAGCGCCTGGGTTTTAGGAGGTATGGCAGTAAGAGGAATGAGTATTGGGGGAAAAGGGAAAAAGAAAATCAGAGCAAGCAAACAAGAATATATAAGAAAGTAAAAGGTGTGAACGGTAGACGAAAATGTTAGTGTTGGCCAGCTGCAACGTCCTCCTCTACTATATAGATACATAGTGGTAGGGGAAGAAGGAGGCCTATGTGGAGCTTAAGATAATGGGATCACTGGCAGATAAAGAGAGCTGTAGTGGGGAAGGGGAGATGAGTGGAAATTGAAGAACATGAGACCTGACTGTTGCTGTGTTCCTAGAGTGTTAAGAGCAGCTGATGCCTGTGTGGTACCCAGAGCACTGTTGAGTTTGTGTTTAGCTCCCACAGCTTTACTTTTCCCTATTGGGATACTGCTGGTGGCCCTCTCAGCAGTCACTGGGAACCCCTTCTATATAATCCTTACCTTACCAGTGCTGCTATTGTAGATTTCCTGGTAGGAGTCTTTAGCCCAGTGTACCTGGGGGAAAATGCCTGCAGTGGCTGCTTTGGTTGTTAGAGTCTGAGCAACAAGACCAGTCTGATAATAGAAAAGGTTTGTTAGGGTGTTGATCAAACCAATTCCAGGATTTGGAAGAGCAGCAGATGTAGTGATAAAATATTTCTACTTCCTTTAATTTCCTGACTGTAATTAGCTACTTAATCCAATGTGATTTCTGTTCCTCCATCTTACCTAGACGTCTCCTAATATGATTTTCTAAGTAGAAAACCTTGAGGGAATTAAGCAAACAAATACCTCTCAGTGAGAGTTAAGCATCTGGGTAAAAGACACACATACAGAGCTCAGTTACATCTCTGTATACTATCAATGAATACATGGGAACTGAACTTTGAAAGTAATGCCATTTATAATTGTTCTGAAAAAATTGCAATCTTGATAAAACAAATGAAATATAACCTTCATGCATGTGGAGATCAGAGGACAGCTTTTAAGTCAGTTCACTTTGTTCACACAGTAAATGAGAAAAAATAGGGTTATATTAATGGACATTAGAAAGATTTTAATTAAATTGTTTTGTTCAGGGTAAAAACTTAACAAACCAAGCCTAAAAGAGGAAGACCTATTCTGGTGAACAGTGTCTTCAGATCCCATAAAACGTTCCTGACTAGTGGCTGTTCTTTCTAAAGAATGAGTACTTTCAGAATTACAGTTCTAAAAAGCAGTTTGTGCAACTATAGGAAAGGTTAACTCTGGGATGACCCAGGTTCATGATAAACTCTTTTTTTTTTTTTTTTTTTTTAAGACACAGTCTCACTCTGTGTCCCCTACTTGCCTAGAACTCACTATGTAGACCAGGCTATCTTTGAATTTGTGGTAGTCCTCCTACCTCAGCTTCCTGACTTCTGGAACTATAGCCAGGTGCCTGAGTTTTTGGTGATATATTTAAATGATTATCAAACTCATTTAAGGAGAGCCCTGCTTAAAAAACAATTGAAACATCTGTTACTGTCTCTTAATTTTTTATAAACTATGCTAGGTATGTAATGATGTTTAGCATAGTTTATTGTCAGGGTATGCAAAATAGATACCCAGAAGATGATTGGCTATTGGATACTTGGAGTGTTGATGCCTGTGTGGATTCAACCTTGCCAGGAGTTCAAATCCATGAGGAACACCTGTGACTTCTTGTGGGATAAAGAATCCCTTTGTAACTCAAGAGTGGCTTCACCATTCAAGGACATAAAGGTGGACCTAAGAAAAATATTTCATGTTAGCAAGACATTCTTGATTTGTAAAAGTTAGTAGCCATCAATCTTTTGAGATACATGTACCATTTTATTCTTAAATGAGGTTTTTTTTTTTTTTTTTTTTTTTTTGTGGTTAGCTCTCAAAATTGAACCAATTTGAGTGTAGTTTTTAGGAATACAGGGAGATGTTCTCCCTCTCCCTTTGTCTTTAAAGAAAGTTTTTCAGGGAAATAACCCCAGTAGTAATGAGTTCTGTCTAGTGGCCCTAGCTTGCTATGGGTAAGTGATGTTTCTTTTTGTAGTCCCACTGTTCCTAGGGCTGGACTGCTGTGTTCCAGGTTTGTATGAGAAGGCCTGGGTGATACCTGCTGCTCTAGAGGTGGATAGTGAACAAAGGTGTGCTCCCTGGGGGACCCCCCCCCCCCCCGCCATGGTCCTGTGGTAGTTTGTTTGCCAGGCCTCTTGAAGTCAGAAAGCTCAAAGGCCCAGTGTACTGTTCTGTGCTTGGCAAGCATCTATTCTGAAGAGTTAGCATCATAGTGCTGAGACCCTTTGGTGTCTGTCATTTTACTGCCCACATCTGACTCCTGTTTTGAGCTCTCTGTGTGTCTGTCTCCACAGCTGGATTATATCAATTCCAGAGCTGTGCAGCTGGGGTCCCTCTTTGTCCGTGGTCTCACCACCTTGGCATTAGTCAACAGTGCGTGTGGCTTCCCCTGGACAACAAGCGAGTTCATGCCCTGGAATGTGTTTGATGGCAAGCTTTTCCATCAGAAGTACCTGCAGTCTGAAAAAGGATATGCTATAGAGGCTCTTTTGGAACAGAATGTGAGTTCCGCTTTTTGTACATTGAGGCAATGAGTAAGTTTGAAGCCAGTAGCTCTAGTGTACCTGAAAAGAGTGCTCATCCCAAAGGTCGTATAGCTTTAGGAAAACAAACATGTTCTCCAGGGTCGTCCTCATCATCTCAGGCTTTAGACATTCATAAAGTTGTCAGGATGGGTTTACATTTCCATAACTGCTCTCTAGACGTGAGGTAAAGTTGGTGTTCACATAGCTAATGGCTTCTATAGGGAGAGTGAACAGAAAAAAGAGATTGCACTCTTTGCAGAAGGGGACTAGTTGGGGAGACACTTTCCAGAAGGCTCTCCATGTCCTGAAGACACAGGATGTTGCCCCAGCTTTCTAAGTATAATTATACAATGATTCCTGCAAGATTTCCAAATGAGACTTCCTGCCGAGCTCATTTGGAATGTTTTATTACCCACAGGGATAAGAAATAGGTGTGTTTGTAAGAGAGCTTGCTGGTCTGGTAGATAAAACACAAGCTTTCACACCAAAGGGAAAACATTTGGCAATGTGTTGCTTTCAGCCACTTCTCACCAAAGTTCCAGGGTGTTATAGGATTGTAAGTATTCAGAACTCAGAAGAACAGGATGAAAGGAAAACTTCCTCAGATTTGGGTATTGCTGTAACAGTGCTTGAAGGAGATGCAGCTTGGGGGGCACACCTGTCAGTTATCCTTGTCTGTGTACCTCAAAATACACAAGGTTCCTCGAGTACCTTATCTCTGACCAAGCCCAGTTGACAACAGGTTTAGAAAAGAACATCTGTGCAGAAATATTCACTAGTAATATAGGAAGCCATGATTTCAGTGTGACGCTCATAACCCCCATCTACTGCTGTTTTTACGACCTCAGCTTTCCATCCAGTGTTCTTAGATTATTACAACATGAGTAGATGTTTTAGCCATGACTGTTTAACCTACAGTAAGACAGAAGCAGGTATTATAGATGCTTGGTTCTGTTTCCAGGGGACTCGGGAAGGGGACCAATCTTCTAAGATCCTCTTATGATCTTGTTAACGGAGAGCTGCAACTGTACTTTCCTGGTTCAGTGTTGGTTGATATCTTGGGTATAGATATGTTGGTTGATAGACACTCATGGATTGTGTCCCTTCCCTGCCACATCAGACCCTACTCTGAGCAACCTAGTTCCTTCACAGTGTGCATAGCCAGCTTTCATTTGCATCTGATCTGTTTGCAGAGATCTTGGCTCACCAAATTCAACAACCTGAAAGCAGTGGTTTGCAAGGCCTGCTTGAAGGAGAACCGACGTATTGTGGGCAGAACACACTGGAACTCTCACTATACAGGTGGGCAAGGGTTACATGCTGGGTCCCAGGGTTGATCCACCTGCTTCCTGTGTTTTGTTGGTAAAAGAATAATGAAATTATGAAAGATTAAAATGAATATGATTGGGATCTACTCAGTAGTTTAAATTCTGGTCCCATTTAGGAAAAACATTTCAGAAACTAAATTGTTAATTGAATAAAAGACTTGATCTAGGTGAATCATCTGATTCCCACAATTCCCTGAATTAGAGGCTGCATGGATGGTGTTTATGTACTTGACAAAAGTTCAGGTTTAGTTTTTCTTATAACAAAGGCAAATTAGAAAAATTCAGAGTATAAAGAAAATAATTTTAAAAGAAATATAAAAGACCTTCGTTTCTGTCACCTAGAATGACAAGTGTTGAAAGATAACATGCTTCTGAAGCTCTTTCCTATGCGCTTAGCTCAGTATTTGTACTCCACGCAGTTTCGGATCCTACCCTTCCACAGAACACTCCACATCATGTTAAACAGGGCGACTTCCTCTACAGATAGGATTTCTGTAGCTGTTTCCATTTTTCATTATTCCTACTGCTTTTTTTGTGCACTGTTCTTTAAAATGGAGCATCCAACATAGTTTGCAGAATTGTAGATCAAAATGTAACTAAATATTAAGTGAATGTTGCCAGTTTGTTTCTTTCCTAAGGTCCTTTGGTTTGTTTGTTTGTTTTGTGAGACAGGGTCTCCCTGTAGCCCAGCTGGCCTGGAACTTGCTGTGTAGACCAGGCTGGCCTCTATTTCACTGAGATCCACCTGCCTTTGCCACTACTGGGATTAAAGGCGTATACCACAAACACCCAGCCCTAAGGTCCTTTCCCTTTTCCTTGCACCTTGACCAGTAGTGATTAGCATCTGTCAGAAGGCATCTTGACATCACTTAAAATGATATTTTTAAAAATTTATTTTTTCTAATTTTATGTATATGAATGTTTTGCCAGCATGTATGTAAGTGCCAGTGGAGGCCAGAAGAAGGCATTTGAGCCTCTGAAACCTGAGTTATGAATGGTTGTTAACCACCATGTAGGTACTGGGAATTGAATCCAGGTCCTCTGCAAAAGTAACCAATTGCTCTTAACCATTGCACCAACTCTCCAGCCCTAAAATGGTTCTTGAAAACTAATTTGATCATTAAATTTTGATCTACTTGTTCAATAAATCAATATCATTTACTGAAGAAAAAAACTAATTTGATCTGTGGAAAAATATGTCTTATTGATTAGATTCTTCTCATTTATCCTTGAGTTGAACAACTTGCTGACTTATTTTGTTCATGAGATTTGCAAATATTTTTGTGTGTCTTCCTTTGGTTTATTCTGTAGCCATAATACCCCATTTTTTTCTTGATGGGACACTAGAACTCATACCAAACTACCTACAGGACTATTTCAGGCCAGTTGCCCTTAGGGGCTGTGTGCAACACGAACCTCACGCCTTGTCAGGGTGCCTAGCCTGCTAGACTTTGTCTATGGACCATTACAGGACTCCAGCTAAGGGGTGTACCCATTCCCAAACTGGGAGTAGAAAGTATCTTGTCCCCAATTCCCAGCATTTTTTTCCCCTTCTCCTAACTTCCTGCCAACTGCAGATAGAATTTAGATCCCAAAGTAGAAGTTTATTCATTACAAAGTAAATGTACTGGCTTCTCTCTCTATTTCCTGTTCCCATAAGTGGTTGACAGCCTGGGACTCAGTTTTCCTGAGCATGAGTTCCTGTTTAAGATTGTTAAAGAGCAGGACAAGTGGCGGGGGGGCGGGGTTGTCCATAGCTGCACAGAATAGTTTTGAGGTGCCCGTTATTACTGGGCCTTGCATGTCCAGATTTGCTTCTGGTTTATGATGTGTCCACATGGCTAGGACTCTGCAGGGTGCAGTAGAGCTTCATAAGTGCTGACTGCTGAAATTTGTTGCAGTAAGACAGTCTGCATGGCAACTGCAAAGCTGACCTCTTTGTGAGTTTGCATCTGGAGCCAACATCTATGGAGTCACAACTACTCAAGCATGAAATTATCTGGAGCTCAGTGTACTGAGCTTGTGGAGATCCTCAGAGCAAGAGATGCATTGGCCCTGTGCTGGGAATGTGTGCTTACAATGGGCACTAGACAATGAGGGGCTTGGCAGTTAGAGTGGCAGGCATTGCAAGAAGCTGATTGCTGGCAATCACCTTGAGGAAGCCTATTGGTGGCCAAAAGACCAGTTATAGATTTGGGTGACTCACAGCAGGAGGGAAAACAAGGAAGGTCAGAAGGAGTTGACATAAAATCCTTTTTAATGTTAAACTTAAAAAGAGTTGATGTTTGTATCCATTGCAAATTGAGGAACTTTTGAAGGCTTTTGAAGTGATACCATCAGAAATGTGTTCTTAGGATGGCAACTATTCTGGCAGTAGAGGGAAATGGCAGTCAGGAGAGTGCTGGAATGATCTTGGCAGTATAGTGCCTGCACCACTGGAGTCTCTCAGCACATCACAAAAGTTGTGCCTTTATCGTCTCTCCTCTCTGGTAGCTGAAATCCAGGTGGCCTGTAGTATGGGTGTATTGAGTGGGCCCTTGTCCCTTTTGTCCACAGTGACTCCAAACAGAACAGGAGTTTAGTCTCTGAAGGTGTCCCATCATACAGGTGGATGTACTTGGGGATACTGACTTAAGGCTATACTGCCTAACAGACACATCCCAGAGTCTATGGTTGATACCTACAGTGGGAACTAGACAGCCCTCCCTTTTTTTGTAGAGCATTGTGAACTAAAAATAATCAGGCCTTCTAATGGTACAAGTGGTATAGGGCATCAGGGCTTGGAAATGTTTAGAAACTTCAGAGTATAAAAAGCCTGTGTCAGTATGTTTATGGGAAGCAGAGAGGTGCTCACCAACTCCCAGGAGTATGCTCAAGGTAAAAACATCTACATGGCCAAGTTGGCTGAGGAGACCAGAGGTGGGCCAACCCCTCCTTGCTAGGAGAAACAGCTTTTGCATCTGACCCTGGAGCAGAGTTTGGGTAGGCATCAAGACCTCATTTTAAAAGACACATGGTGAGGGGCTGAAGAGATGGCTCAGTGGTTAAAAGCACTGGCTGTTCTTGCAGAAGACCTAGGTTCGCATCCCAGTACCTACATGGTGGCTAACAACCATAACTACAGTTCCAGGGGATCCTGCGCCCTCTTCTGTCCTCCACAGGCATTGGTGGGTATTGCGCAACATGGGTACACTTATATATATGCACAGGCAATGCACACATATATATTATTTTTTTAAAAGGTATGTGGTAAGGTGTCTCTTGATCTTGGTCATAGCTTCCATTTGGCTTCCAGTACAGATTGGCCACACCCTCTACTGAGGCAAGCCATGCAGCCCTTTTCTTCATTATGCTGTTGGAAGCACACTGAAGGTTTGGGGACTAGTAGCCTGGTTTGGGAACTAGTAGCCTGTTACACTGTTAAGTGTGGGACAAGATGATTGACACCATACTGATGTGCTGACCATCTTCCCACAGGGAGGTGGGGGAGACAGGGCTCCAGCTGCCACAGGATGGGCTCCACACATGGCCATTCTGGACAAGGGCAGCCATGGAGAGACCAGGGTCCAGGTAAGAGGCCATCACACCAGCCATCGATCTCATAGGTACAATCTTTTACACTGTGTTTGTGCTGAAAATTCCTGTGTTTCAAAACAGGTTGTATATTTACAGTTAGAAGACAGATAAGTGTGTTGGCATACCTAATTCTTTGTTTAGTGAGATAGAGACAAGTGATAATATTCCTGCTTGCTGCTCCTTGCTGCTTTATTTTCTGTCAGTTCATCTGTTCAAGACTCAGTATTTGTAACTTACTCAATTAGAAAGGCTCTTCTAAAGGTTGCTTGTAGAAGGCTCAAATAGAAGTTTTCTGGTATCTTCCATGTCATGGATTACATTTATAATGTGGGAAATAATGTAGCTTCTTATATATGTGATACAGATGTTTTAGTAACACTACACTGAGTTTGATACTTACTTGCATTCAAATATATAGAGACCCTCTCACCAATATTTAAATTCAAATTTCTCGAAGGCTTTAGAGCTAAACTTGATAGAGTTGGAAATTACCTAAGATTTATAGTTTTGTCCTTTCATAAAAACACACTTATTTTTATTTTAATTTTTGTAAGCTCTTAAGTGTATGCAGATTCAGTGTGGCTCAGATTACTATCTAGTGCATAGCAACTCTTCAGTGCTCACCCGCTGGCACCTTTGGCAGTCTCTGGGTGGAGCTACCACAGACTATCACTATGATGCTTGCCAAGGTGAGACTCAGACTGTAGGCAGCATGCATGTGCAGTGCCAAAGCTTGTCTTCCTGAGTATGAAAATCTAACTGCTGTATAGTTCAGTATAAACCATTTCTTTAGTGTGTGTGTCGGGGGGCACATTTATTTTTTATATATACCATTCAACTCACTATAACTGTTTGGTTCATTATTCTGTATTGCCATTTGTATCTAGTGAAAGAGAGAGAGAAATTCCCTGAGAAAAGGGCCATATAATATTCATTTTTTGACACGTGTTAACTTAAAACATGTATCACTCAAGTTAATGTTTTAATACCTAAAACCTGAGAGCTATTTCTTCATTACTACATTCTTTTGGTGGTACCATCTATAAACCTTGAAAGGCTTCTCCCTGGAGAGAGAGATGTTCATCTGTGTAGACTTATGTTGGCCTTGGAGTTTCCTTGAACTAGATGAACCTACAGAGACTGCTCCGCCACATCTGGCTACTGCCTATCCTCTGGGGCTTATGTTGGCCCAACCGGAGTTTCCCTGAGACTTTTCAGCACAGGCTGTGTGTAGGGGGTTGGGTACTTTTTAAAAGCAGCTATACTAAGGTATAAAAAGTAAAGCAAGAGGACCTTAGCATACAGCCTGAGAGTTCCGGCTTAGAAGCTGAGAACACAGCAGATGGCCTGAGAGTGCCTAGATCCAGCCTCTACATAGTGGTGAGCTCCCCCAAATTGCACCATATCCAACCCCCTAACTGGGATTATTTGAGGCCCCTCCCACGGAACCAGGGCAGACCTTTTGCCCTAGGGTAGGGTAAGGCTCAGGACTTAACAGACAGCCTGAGAGTGGCTGTTCTGGCCTCCGTCTGGCTTAGCAGCTGAGAACTCAGCAGACTGCCTGAGAGCATCTTATCTGGCCTCTGCCTAGTGTAGGGGCTAAGAACTCAGCAGACTGCCTGAGAGTGCCAAAATTGGGCCTCCCTTTAGGGAGCTTCCCAAATTGTGCTCTCTCTGAGTGCCTGCTAGTAGGAGTCCAAATGTTAGAAGGAAGCCTGAGTATAATACCTGACTGGAGCCTGACTTTGGCTTCTATGAGCACTCCTGAGTAGCTGATTAGTTCCCTCCAAAATTGGAGAGACCCTCAAACCTAGACCAACCAGCTTTACAAATCCAGTAAGAAAACAACTAAGGCATACCTATAATACAAACAGAAGCAAACCTCAACTCAACAAAAGAAGACTTGATTTTCATACCAGAATCACAAACAGCAAAAGAAATTCACATGCCAGAATCAGAATGAAGAAATAATAAAATGGAAAGCCAAAACAGTATGCCCCCCCAACCCTACCAGTCCTGAAGGAGAGTTCTACAAGGAGAACCCCCTAGAAATAACCCAGGACATAGAATTTAAAAGAACAGTCATAAACGTGATCAAGGAATTCAACGAATTTAAAGAACACACAAATCAAAGACCTAAAAGAAGATAGGGATAAACTTCTGAATGAATTCACAAAAGAGATAGAAACATTGAAGAAAACTCAGGCTGAAATGAAGAAGGAAGTGAAAAACTCAATAAGCCAACTTGAAATAACAGGGAAAGCCTCACTGCTAGAATGAATGAGATGGAAAACAGAATATCAATGCTGGAGGATAAGGTTGAAGAATTAGACCACTCAAGCAAACACTATGAAAATGTTTTTAAAAACACAAGAATGGAATATGCAGGAGAGGTGGGACACCATGAAAAGACCAAATCTACATATCATAGGCATAGAACAAGGCGAATAATCTCGTTAGTAATATTGATCAGATCTTAAACAGGATTGTAGAAGAGAATTCCCAAAATTAAGGAAAGATATCCCCATACAAATACACGAAGCATATAGAATACCAAATAGACAGGATCAGAAAAAGAAAATTCCCACAGCATATCATAGTAAAAACACTAAATGTACAGAACAAAGAGAATACTGAAAGCTGCAAAAGAAAAACAAGTCACATACAAAGGAAAGCCCATCAGAATTACAGCTGACTTAACAGTGCAAACTATGAAAGCCAGAGAACCTGGAACAAGGTATTTCCAGCTCTATATGACATTAGATGCCAGCCCAGAATACTTTACAGAGCAAAAATGTCTATTATAGTTGGGGGGGGGGAGGAAAATCTTCCACAGCACAAATAGTCTGAAAGAATACATGTCCACAAAACCAGCCCTTCAAAGAATACAAGAAGCAATACAAAGAATGGAGAAAGGAACAACTGCACCCCAGGGGCAACAAAAGAAACTAAATGAAGGGATAATTGTAGAAACACAAAATTAGAGAAAGAATGCAAACAACAATCAAAATGATGGCAACCAGTACACATCTTTCAATAATAACCTTAAGTATCAGTGGACTGAACTCCCCAGTCAAAAGACACAGGCTAAGTGAATGGATTAAGAAACAAAGTCCATCTCTTTGTTGTCTCAAAAAACCTATCTCACCTTCAAGGACAGGCACTACCTTAAGGTGAAAGGATGGAAAAGAATATTTCAAGCAATTGGCATTAAGAAACAAGCAGTGGTTACAATTCTAATATCTGACAAAATAGACTTCAAACTAAAACTAATCAGAAGAGATAGAGGGTCACTTCATTCTGATCAAAGGAATAATTAACCAAGAAGATATTACAAACCTGAACATATATGCACCAAACTCTGGTGCACCCAAATTCATAAAAACAACACTAAAGGACAGATTAATCCGAACTCAATAATAGTAGGGGACTTCAATACTGCACTGTCTCCATTAGGCAGGTCAACTGGACAAAGAATAAACAGACATCTGAACTAATTGATACCATACATCAAATGGACCTAATAGACATCTTCCAAATATTCTACCCAAGCACCAAAGAACGCACTTTCTATTCAGCACCCCATGGAACTTTTTCAAAAATTGACCACATACTGGGGCACAAAACAAACCTTAACAAATACAAAAATATTGAAATAATTCCATGCATTCTATCGGACCACAATGCAATAAAGCTCAAAATCAACACTGGAAAAAGCCCTGTTTGCTACACAAATTCATAGAGATTACACAATACACTCCTAAATGATGAGTGGGTCAAAGGAGAAATTAAGAAAGAAAATTCCTGGAATTCAACGAAAAGGGCAATACAACACAACAAAACCTCTGGGACACTTTAAAAGCAGTCCTAAGAGGGAAGTTTATAGCTCTAAGTGCCCTTGTCTACATAGTGAGTTCCAGGACAGCTGGGGCTACAGGGAGACCCTGTCTCAAAAAAAACAAACAAAAAAAAAAATCTGAAAGAACACAAATAAATGACTTAACATTGCAACTCAAGGTGCTGGAAAGGCAAGAACAAATGAAACCCAAACTCAGCAGAAGAGAAGAAATAACAACAATCAGAGCAGAAATCAATGAAATAGAAACAAAGAAAACAATACAAAGAATCAATGAATCTAAGAGCTGGTTCTTTGAAAAGCTGAACAAGATAGACCCTTAGCCCAGTTAACCAAAAGAAAGAAAGAGCACCTCCAAATCAACAAAATAAGAGATGAAAAGAGAAACATCACAACAGACACCAAAAGATTCAGAACATTATAAGGGAATACTTTAAAAACCTATACTCTACTAAAGAAATGGATGGATATCTAAAATCATGGGAACCACCGAAGTTAAAACAAGAAGAGATTAACAGTTTAAACAAACCAATAACATATAAGGAAATCGAAACAGTAATACAAAGCCTCCTGACTAAAAAAAGCCCAGGCCCAGATGGATTTACAGCAGAATTCTGCCAGGCCTTTAAAGAAGACCTCCGACCAATACTACCTAAAATTTCAGAATGATAGAAACAGAGGAAGAACTCCCAAACTCGTTCTATGAAGCCAGCATCACTCTAATACCCAAACCAGGTAAAAACACAACCAAAAAAGAAAACTATAGACCCATATTGTTAATGAACATAGATGCAAAAATACTCAACAAAATAACTTGCAAACCACATAGAGATGTACATCACAAAATTCATTCACCATGATCAAGTAGGCTTTATTCCAGAGATGCAGGGATGGTTCATTATATGGAAGTCAGTAAATGTCATCAATCATAAAATAGACTCAAAGACAAAAACCACACCATCATCTCAATAGATGCAGAAAAGCCTTTTGACAAAATTCAGCATGCATTCATGATAAAAGTACTAAAGGGAATTAGATTGGAGGGACTATACCTCAACATAATTAAAGCCATATAACAAACCCACAGCCAACATCATTCTAAACGGAGAAAAAGTGGAAACATTCTCATTGAAATCAG